CTCTCTCTCTCTCTCTCTCTCTCTCTCTCTCTCTCTCTCTCTCTCTCTCTCTTCCGCTCTTTCTCTCTTTCTCTCCTTCTCTCCCTCCTCCCTCTCTTCTTCTTTCTTTCCTTTCTTTCGTTTTCGGCGCCCGCATCGTTGTTTGGAGAGTCCTGTGTTAGTGCAATGATTGTCACTGGATCTATGCTGGCTCACCATGGATGATGAATGGATCTGTTGGGGGGATCTTGTATTTCTGTTGCAATCGTATTATGCTTTGTGTCATGTGTGGAAGTTTTGAGTCGGCTAGCGCGTGGTAACCTTCCCCCAACCCTATGTCCGTGCTTCGCCACTTTCGCTTGATTTGTGGCCTTTGACCATATTAGCCTTAGTTTCTCCCACCACAAATGGACGCACGAGTGGTCCTACCCCGCCGCGGTGATATCTTGGCCCCCCTGGTGTTTACCCTGTGCCCAGTGTGCCGGCGGAACAAAGCCGGAGCAGTGCGGGTATGAAGTGTCGTACTCCTACGAACCACATGTGGCACACACATGCAATACACACGCACACACACACACACAAGTCCAACGAACGATTTGCACGTCAGTATCGCTGCGAGCCTCCACGAGAGTTTCCTCTGGCCTCGCCATGCTCAGTAGTATGGATTCCATACGTATGGGCCTATGTCCTCCTCCGTGCAAGCACAAATTCGAACCACTGACTTCGGCCTCAAGAGCCAAGTCTCTTAACCACTACAGCCAAGACAAAGTGTTCAAAAGTGGAATCGTACCGGTCATGATATCCACCCCACACCTCCAAGGTTGTAGTGTCCAACTCAACACACACCACACACAACACCCATAGACACGACAATTCTCATACACTTTGCTCTGTAGTCAACACGTAACCCCCACTGGTACTCTTACCCGCTCACACATATGGGACTTATCAATGCCCGCGGTTCAAGGGCGCTTCCACAGTAGTATGGATTTCGTACGTCTGGGCCTAAATCCTCCTTCGTGCAAGCACAGATTCGAATCGGCGACGCCGGCCTCAAGAGCCAAGTCTCTTAACCACTACAGCCAGGACACGGTGTTCAAAAGTTGAATCGTACCGATCGTGATATCCTCCCCACCCCTGACAGGATCTTGATTGGTTGATTGATTGATTGATTGGTTGGTTGGTGTACACACACACACACACACACACACACAAACACACAAACACACACACACACACATACACACACACACACACACACACACAAGTCTGACGAACGATTTGCACGTCAGTATCGCTTCGGGCCTCCACCAGAGATTCCTCTGGCCTCGCCGTGCTCAGCCATAGTTCACCATTTTTTTTAATTTTATTTTTGTGATTGCGTGTGTGTGTTTATGAGACACATACACAGAGAGAGAGAGAGAGAGAGAGAGAGAGAGAGAGAGAGAGAGAGAGAGA